TTGCTGTGAGCTGTCATGCCACAGCACTCTACCCAGGGGGATAGCTTGAGGCTCTGTCTCAAAAAAAAAAAATTATTTGTTGGATGTAACACCCCTGGGGGGAGGGTTGTCCCTCTGCTGGCCCCCACCCCATCCTCAGAGATCAGCCCACAGCAGCAACCAAGTGTCCACATTGGTGGACGGTCAAGGCCACACAGGCTGGGTCACCCTCACCAGACTCCAGGGACGACACCCAGGTATCCTGCAATAGTCTGTCTCAGAGCTGCAGCTGGGGCTAAGCCTGGGGTACCAACGCCACCTCATGGAGAAGGGGCACCTGCTCACCTTCCCACACCAACACAGATAGAGACGTTTCCAGGCAAGAACACCAACAAGCAAGGGCAGGTCCACCAGCTACATAGGTGGGGACGGGCTCCTGCTGTTTCACAGCAGGAGGACCTGGCCCGCTCCCCAGCGTCCTCCATGTCCAGGTGGACTGATGCCCCCAGACGTCCCTGAGCAAGAGGAACTGTCTCTCAGCTAGAGTCCAGGAGCTGGGAACTTTCCTCAGGGAGACCCCGTGGGTGCCATGTCTCCTGACTTTTTGAGGAGGACAAGGACTGCCCATGACTATCCTCCCCACATGACCAGGCACGGGACCAGGCACAGGCCACGTGCTCCTCCATGCTATAGACAGGCACACATCTCGTCCACACCCTCCACTCAACCTTCCTGAAGGCCATCTCAACATCTTTCCTTCCATCTACTCCTCAACACACAGACACCTTCTTATAGGAAAACACTTGGTTTATCCATCTGCACACTCTCTCGGGATCACCTTTATTCTTCATTTCATGCATCCGAAAGGCTAGGTGTGAAGCCATAGCTGGACCAGACAAGCATCTTTGAGCCCAGGGAGCCTAGCCACTAAGGCTACAGCCCCACTGTGAGCCCACAGCACACACAGACCAGCCCTCACCACCCCAGCCATGAGGAGAAGTCAGGGATGAAGGTGCAGCTCCAAGATGGGATCATCCCCAATCCTCTGACCACTGCTGATGTCCAGCCCCTCACTCTTCATCCCCCTTCCCCCCTTGCCCCAATTAGACCCAGCCTTCCATGCACTTTGGTCCTTCATCACAGGCACCTAGTGTGCTCGCTGCATCTGACTCCTGAGGCAGTGTATGCTGCGTCTCCAGGTTGCCCACTTGTTTTCCCCAATTACCCCCCCACTGGCCCACCCACCTCTGATCGTGCATACCTGAACTCTCTGCCAGCCTGGCCCATGTGGGGCCATGTGCCTCCTAGACACTGCCCCACAATGGGGACGGGGGCTGCCTCATTCTGGGCCATGAGGCAACTTGAGCAGCAGAGGGTGTTGAGCGGCTGCCTTAGTTCCCACCCACTAGAAGCCAGCAGCACACCCTCCACTGTGACAACTAAGAATGCCACCACACATTGCCAAGGTCCCCTCGGGGGCATGGGGCCCTGCTGAGAACCCTGGTCTAGGCCTGTTTCTCCAACCCTTCTGATCACTTTTACCCTGACCCTCACTGTATAGTCTAAGCCAGGAGTCCTCAAACTTTTTAAACAGGGGGCCAGTTCACTGTCCCTCAGACCGTTGGAGGACCAGACTGCGGGCCCCGGGAAGAGTCGGCTGCTAGGCAGGACAGGTAGTAGTGGCTAAAACACCCGGAGGGCCAGATAAATGTCCTAGGCGGGCCACATGTGGCCTGCAGGCCATAGTTTGAGGATGCCTGGTCTAAGCAAACATCCACCCACTCTCTCTGACCCTGCTCAGCCCATTGATGGGTGGTTCTGGTCCTCTCTTCTGAGTCCTGACAAAGGCTCAAACAGCACCATGTGGGCTAGGAGTTACTATCCAACTAGGCCAAGTGTCCAGGCAGGGCAAGTGGTGGAGGCCTTGCCTCTTCCAGCCTGGATGGCCCAGGCGGATCCAGACTCTCCCAGGACTGGAGGCTCAGCACTCCCTGGCTCCTCTCCTCTGGGCAGGAATCAGATAACCAATAGCTCTCCAGAGTCTACTGCGTGACCTTCTCCTCAGGAATGCTTCAGGAGATGGGCAAAATGAAGAGTGTCAATTTCTGTGGTGCCCATCAAGGTGGAAACCCTTACTCCATTCGGCTGTGGTGCGCAGGGTTTGGGCTTTCTTCATTGATTTTGTTTTTAAATCTCGGTGGTAGGCTAGGCGCGGGTGGCTCACACCTGTAATCCCAGCACTCTGGAAGGCCGAAGCAAATGGATTGCCTGAGCTAACGGGTTCAAGACCAGCCTGAGCAAGAGCGAGACCCTGTCTCTAAAAATAGCTGGGTGTTGTGATGAGTGCCTGTAGTCCCAGCCACTTTTGGAGTCTGAGGAAAGAGAATTACTTGAGCCCAAGAGTTTGAGGTTGCTGTGACGTCATGGTACTCTACCCAGGGTGGCAAAGTGAGACTCTATCTCCAAATATAAATAAATAAATAAATAAATCTCAGTGGTATTAGGGAAGACAAGTCTGGACTTCATCTAAAACCTAAAGCAGTAATTTTTTTTTAATTTCAGGCTAATTTGATGGTACAAAGAATTAGGTTACAATGTTGGCATTTGTTAGGTAGAGTGCCTATTATAGTTGCGTCCTGCACCCTGGAGGTGCACCGTACTCCCTGACGTGCCCATTAAGTAAGAGCACACCAATATCCTCCCTCTATCTTGAATTGAGTTTTTCTTTTATGTGGACGTGGACGTGAACATCTACTGGCTTCACATCAGAATTCAGTACACTGGATTCTTGCTTTTCCATTCTTGTAATACTTTACTAAGAAGAATGTATTTCAATTCCATCCAGGTCAATACAAAAGCTGAAAAATCTCCATCTTTTTTATAGCTGAACAGTATTCCATGGTATACACATATCACAGCTTATTAATCCATTCCTGGGGTGGTGGGTATTTAGGTTGTTTCTAAAACTTGGCGATTGTAAACTGAGCTGCAATAAACAGTCTAGTGTAAATGTCATTATTACAAAATAATTTTTTTCTGGTAGATGTCTAGTAATGGGATTGCAGGATCAGATAGGAGGTCTAACATAAGCTCTTTGAGAATTCTCCAAACTTCTTTTCAAAGAGGCTATATTAGTTTGCAGTCCCACCAGCAGTGTAAAAGTGTTCTCTCTCCACATCCATGCCAGCATCTGCAGCTTTGAGACTTTGAGATATGGGCTTTTCTCACTGGGGTTAGGTGATATCTCAGGGTCGTTTTGATTGGCATTTCTCTGCCAATGATAGGGACATCATTGATGATGATTAGGGACAATGAGCATTTTTCTTTTCTTTCTTATTTTTTTCTTTTTTGAGACAGAGTCTCATTGTCGCCCTCAGTGGAGTGTGTAGTGTTACAGCTCACAGCAACCTCAAACTCTTGGGCTTAAGCAATTATCTTGCCTCAATCTCCCAAGTAGCTGGGACTCTAGGCACCCACCACAACACCTGGCTATTTTGCTGGTGTCATTGTTGTTTAGCTGGCCTGGGCTGGGTTCAAACACACCAAACCTGGTGCATGTGGCCAGTCCCCTAACCACTGAGCTACAGGTGCCGAGCCAGTATTTTTTCTTATGTTTGTTAACCATTCATCTGTCTTCTTGGAAGAAGGTTCTATTCATGTCTCTTGCCCAATGATAGATGAAATTGTTTGCTCTTTTTTTGATTAATTTGAGTTCTGTATAGATTCTAGTTATCAACCCTTTGTCACCTTCATAACATGCAAATATCTGTTTGGGTTCTGAGGGTTGTCTATTTGCTTTGTTGTGTCCTTAGCTATACAGAAGCTTTTCAGTTTAAGTCCTGTTTATTTTTGTTGTTGTTGCAATTACCACTGAAGTCTTCTTCATAAAATATTTTCTCAGGCTGACATCCCCAAGAGTTTTTATCATGTTTTCTTCTAAGATTTTTATGGTTTCATGTCTTAGATTTAAATCTTTTATCCATCTTGAGTGAATTTTTCTACGTGGTGAAAAGTACGGCTCCAATTTCAGTCTTTAACATGTGGTTATCCAGTTCTCCCAGCACCATTTGTTGAAGAGGGATTCTTTTCCCCACTGTATGCTCATTTGGTTTATCAAAGATCAGATGGCAACTAGGTACTGTTTTCATCTCTTGGTTTTCTATTCTGTTCCATAGACATATATCTCTATTTTTGTGCCAATACCATGCTGTTTTCATCACTGTGGACTTGTAATACAGCCTGAAGTCTGGTTGGCTGATGCCTCCAGCTTTGTTTTTATTACTAAGAACTGCCTTGGCTATACAGGGTTTTTTTTTGGTTCCTTACAAAACAAGGAACTATTTTTTTCCAGTTCTTCAAAGTATGCTGCTGGTAATTTAACAGGGATTGCATTAAATCTGTAGATTGATTTGGGCAGTATGATTTTAACAATGTTGACTCTTCCCAGCCAAGAGCATGGTATGTTCTTTCATTTGTTAACGTCTTCTGCTACTTCTTTTCTTAGGGTTTCATAATTCTCATTATAGAGGTCCTTCACCTCTTTTTTTATGTATATTTCTTGGTATTTCATTTTCTTTGAAGCTACTGCCAAGGAAATTGTGTTTTTTTGGTTTTTTGGGGTTTTTTGAGACAGAGCCTCAAGCTATCATCTGGGTAGAGTGCCATAACATCACAGCTCACAACAACCTCCAACTCCTGGGCCCAAGGGATTCTCCTGCCTCAGCCTCCCAAGTAGCTGGGACCACAGGTGCCCACAACAACGCCTGGGTATTTTTTGGTTGTAGTTGTCATTGTTGTTTGGCAGGCCCAGGCTGTGCTTGAACCCGCCACTTCTGGTATATGTGGCTGGTGCCCTAGCCACTTGAGCTACAGGAGTTGTGTTCTTGATTTGCTTCTCAAGTTGGCTGTTATTGGTGTATACAAAGGCTACTGATGTCTCGACACTGATTTTATATCCTAAGACATTACTGTATTTTTTCACCACTTCCAGAGGTACTGTGGTTGAGTCTTTGGGGTTCTCTAAGTATAAGAAAATATCATCGCAAGAATGGAATAAGAAAAAATGACATGAAGGCTACGTTAACCAGTTTGATGAGAGTATTCAAAATGTATATAAAAATACCACACTGTACCCCATGATTGCATTAATGTACACAGCTATGATTTAATAAAAAATCTTTAAAAAAAAAAAAAGAAAGAAAGAAAATATCATCAGGTTGGGCACAGTGGCTCATACCTGTAATCCTAGCACTAGCATTCTGAGAGGCTAAGGTGGGTGAATCGCTTGAGATCACAGGTTCAAGACCAGCCTGAGGAAGAGTCAAACCCTGCCTCTAATAAAACATGAAAAACTGAGGCAAGAAGAAGGATCACTTGAGCCCAAGAGTTTGAGGCTGTTGTGAGCTATGATGTCACAGCGCTCTACAAAGGGCAACAAAGTAAGACTCTGTGTCAAAAAAAAAGATCATATCTTTGGCAAAGAGCTAGATATTCAACCTCCTCTGACCCCATTTGGATGTCAGGATATGTCCTTAATATCCTTCTCTTGCCTGACTGCTTTGGCTAGAACTTCCAAAACTATGTTGAATAATAGTGGCAACAGAGGACAGCCTTGTCTGGTTCCAATTCTAGGTGGAAAAGCTTTTTTTACTCCATTCAGTATGATGTGTAGATAGCTTCTATCAGTTTAAGAAATGTGCAAAAAAAAAAAAAAAAGGCTCAGCGCCTGTGGCTCAAGTGGCTAAGGCGCTAGCCACATACACCTAAGGTGGTGGGTTCAAATACAGCCCAGGCCCACCAAATAACAATGACGGCTGCAACCAAAAAATAGCCGGGCATTGTGGCGGGCGCCTGTGGTCCCAGCTACTTGGGAGGCTGAGGCAGGAGACTCGCTTGAGCCCAGGAGTTGGAGGTTGCTGTGAGCTGTGATGCCATGGCACTCTACCCAGGGGACAGCTTGAGGCTCTGTCTCAAAAAAAAAAAAAAAAAAAAGAAAGAAAGAAAGAAATGTGACACCAGGGCAGCACCTGTGGCTCAAAAGGGTAGGGTGCCATTCCTATATGCTGGAGGTGGCGGGTTCAAACCCAGCCCCAGCCAAACAAAAAAAAGGAAAAGAAAAAGAAATGTGCCACCTACACCTATATCCTTAAGTGTTCTAATTAGAAAAAGATTCTGACTTTTACCAAATCCTTTTTCTGAATCTATTAAGAGGATCATATAGTCTTTGTTTTTGACTCTATTTATGTGGCGAATTACATATATGGATCTGCATGTGTCAAACCAGCCTTGCGTCCCTGGGAATCTGTATTCTTGAAATGCAACCTCAGCCTGTGTCACATCTCCATTACATAAGAGGAGATCAGAACATCTTATGGATTAGTTACATATCTGACACACTCAGTGTGAGAAAGGAGCACATCTTCAAGTCCTAGATACATACCCAGCTACAAGGATCTTAGGAATCTCCCCAGCAAAAGCCTCGGCCATCTCGCGGCTGCCCACATTGGCAATGCAATGCAAGGCCAGCCCCATGAAGGTGGGGTTGCGGCTGGCCAGGTCGTTCTTAATTGCGTTGTTGATCAAGCGGATCAGCTCACTGTTCGAGTTCACCAGCACAGAGATGAAAAGGTAACCCTGTATTCCAAGAAGACAAGAGATGAGATTGCTCATGATCATCCCAGACTGACTGTGGCCAAGAAATGTGGCACAAAAACGGAGCCCAGATGCTGACCCTTCAGTCAACCTCCTGCACAAGCCCACATGCCACACACATTCTGGGAGTGGTGAGTGGTGTGGCACAGAGGACCTTTTCATTTGGGGAAGGTACTCGTTAGTTCTAGGGCACAACCAAAGGATGTCTTGGCTCACGATCCTGTTATAGGACAGCATTACAATGGGGCAGACTTGCCTAGCAGGCAATCAGCCAGATACCAACAGAAAATGGACCCCTCAAGTCTTCCCAAGTCCCCGCTCACTCCCTGCAGGTCACAAGTGTCAGTGTCCCAGATGCCACACTATTCTCAACTCAAAGTGGGAAAGAAGTACCTTCACTGAAAGGTTGCTTCCAACTACAATGACCTCTGGAAACTCAGCTGACTGCTGACTACCCACTCTTAACTCTGCCTATGTCCCTGTGTTACCTCCTGCCCAGGCCCAAGCCAGTCCTGTGTTCAGCCCCAGCTGTACAGCCATACATGCGGGGTCATGGCCTCCCCAGACAGGAAACACAGTGATCTTTTAGAGACCCACCTGGTCACTGACAACCCAGACTGCAGGCATGCCCAGTCTCTGGAGGAAGGCCCCACAAGGAGCCCCCACTGCAGCTGGTACTGCCCTTTAGGCCCTGCATTCTCATGCAGGCCTCTGCTGGGCACCCCACACCCTGCTGACCCTGCCCTTGCTGCCCTCTGCCACATTCCCTCAGGTGCTTCCCGGGCACTGGCCACAGTGAAGATTCTTTTTATAAAGCCATGTGCCTGTCTCCAAGGGCAGGACCCCGGTCTGCTTCTGGCCCCATGTCCTCGAGGGCCCCCGCAAACTGCCTGACCTATGGTAGACACTCCATATACTATCAGTGCAGCTCAGAGCTTAACAAATCCCTGAGACATCTGGACTACCTTTATTTCTGTAAGCTGAACTTTTATAGATAGCCAGAAAAGAATGTTACTTTTGCTATTGGGAGAAACACAGAAGAAACCTTCTTACAAGAGAAGGCAGAGCTGGGGGAAGCCTCCTGAGGCTATGTCTGATCTATGCAAGATCTGGGGAAGGCACAGAATGCCCTTTGGGCGTGGAGGCAACGCCTATTTCAGAAACAGGCTGCACAGAGCCATGGCATGGGTTCAGCACCAGCTGCACAGCGAGGCAGCACCTGTCCTGATCACCCAGACACTGGGCCTCCTGCAGCAACATCACACCAACAGGGATATGCTGGGACGTGCCAGAAGCAAGGCCGTACAGACAGCAGCCAGAGAAGAGCCAATGCCTCCCCCAGACAGAGGCCCCAGCATTGCCGCCTCCTGAGGAATGCTCTGAGTAGGGGCGCAAGCCACAGCCCAGGGCTAACATGTCACCAGCTGCACCAGACCCACGTGGCTCATGCCCTATGTGGCAGGAGAGGATCAGCATAGGTTTGCCTACGAGGTACTCACGATCTGCTTTTCTGTGTATCTGTTTGAGCTCAGCAGGTTCACAGCCTCCATGTGTCCGAAGTCAATGTCGTGGCCAAGAAGAAAGATAAAGAGTAACTTGCAGACATATTTTTTTTTACTGTAGCCATCAAGAGCCTTGTCACCTAAACAAAAGGTGAAGAAAAGGTTTTATGCCAGGTGGGTGAGGTGAGGAGAACAGAGAACACAGCAGCAGAACAGAAGGAGGCCATGAAGGAGCCTCAGCAGACGGCCACAGACACAGGCATGAACCAGATTCCCAAACTGGCGGTGCACAGCAGAATCCAAATTTTTGGTTTTCCTTTTGAAAACAGAAGCCAGAATACCTGTAGCAAGAGTTTGGCCCTTCCAGCCAGCCCTGGGTGGTGCGAGTCAGCTGGGCCCTAACTATCTTCACTGGGCCTGCCAGAATCCCCGGAAGGTCCCCACAGCGATGCAATCTGTGAGCCCTGCCCCGACCCCACATTACTCTTTTAAATAAATTTATTAGTTCAGGTGGATGAACATACTCTAAGTTATCTTCATTGCAAGAGGTGATTGTTCGGAACAAATCACCTCATCATAGAAAGGAGACACACACTCGTCCCGAAGGACTCCTGTTTCTTCACCCAGGTCACATCTTATCTGAACACTTCACTAGCAATCATCTCAAGGTAGATTTAAAACGAGTAGAAATAAAATTCCACCTAGGGCTGGGCATGGTGGTTCACGCCTGTAATCCCAGCACTTTGGGAGGCTGAGGCAGGTGGATCACATGAGTTCAGGAGTTCGAGATCAGCCAGAGCAAGAATTAAGACGTCTTTAGAAGAGACGTTTTTACCTTGTCTCTACTAGCCAAGGTATTTTGGGGGCTTTCGTAGTCCCAGCTACTAGGGAAGCTGAGGCAAGAGATTTGCTCAAACACAAGAGCTTGAGGTTGCTGTGACCCACGATGCCACGGCACTCTATCCAGAGAAAGAGTGAGACTCTATCTCAAAAAAAAAAAAAAAAAAAA